AGAGAGAGAGAGAGAGAGAGAGAGAGAGAGAGAGAGAGAGAGAGAGAGAGAGAGAGAGAGGAGCGATGATGGCAGTGCCATCACGGTTGGCGTAGTAGCCAACATAGGAGGGGTGGCGCATCCCCTAAAGCGCTTTTCGCCGCTTGCGCCGGTCACGGTTCATCAAAGGGTGGAGTTTCCTCTGGCTCCCGGGTAGGAGGTTAAGTGGTGGGGGGTGATGGGGGTGAGAGGGGTATCGTTTTGTGTGAGTCAAAACTTACCACATGATCGTTCATGTCGGCATCTGAGAGGTGTTCCTCGACTGCCGCCATCGCCAGATCACCCTAGCACAGAGTTGTTGTACCAACTACCGATCGCAGTGTCTGGCCCTCAAGCATGTATTAAAGGCAGTGTCTGCCAATCACAGACTTCGGGAAGAGCTGCGTGGAACTCTGAAGAGTTGTCAGAGTTTGAGAGCAACAAATAGAAGAGATGATGAGGCATGTAGAAGACAACAACTATGGAGGGAGGAGTAGTTGTGGCGCTTGAGCGCGGAGGCCAAGGAGAGGTGGAGGAGGAGGAGAGTGGAGAGGGAGAAGGAGGAGCAGTGTGGAGAGGAAGAGAGGAGGAGGAGAGTGGAGAGGTGGAGCTATGTAGCGGAGCAGACGGAACATGAATCGCCGAGGGCAATGCGTTCGGGGAGTCAGCCTCTTGGAAGAAGAGGACTTGTGCACTCGCTGTTCCATAGTGTATAAGTAGGGAAGTTTCTGAGGTGCGAGATATTGAGGGAGAGGTTGGGGAGGGTGCAGGTTTGGGCTATGGAATGTGGGGGGGAGGTGGTTTGAGGATGGAGGGGGGGGGGTTTGTTCGGGCAGGGGGGGCATGTGAGGGTGTGGGGGTTTGCGATGGAAAATGTGTGTGCGTGGTCTATGGGGTGTGTGTATGTGTATGTGATTTGGTGAGGGTGTGTGAATATGAGTGTGGGTGTGTATGGGAGTTCACATATTTGGTGTGCGGGCGGGCAGTGTTTGTGGGTGAGGTATCGATAGCGACGATAGGTATACGTGGTGGGGTGGGCAGGTAGTGTTGGGGAACAGGGGTATGGTGGTAGGAGTGTGGGGAGTAGGGAGTTATGGCGGGAGTGTGTTCAGGCATGAGGCAAGTGGAATGGGTGTTCGTCGTTTAGTGCCAGGCTATGGCGGTGCAGCGTTCGTCAGTTAGTAGCTTGGCGTGCGGGTGCTAGATTGTGATTTTGGACTGCAGTGTCGTTTCAAGGGTTTGGATCTTTTGGTGATGTTGGTTTTCGTTTTTCTCATTTTGTATTTTTATGGGTGGGAGTTGGGATGTGAGTGCCAGTGGTGGGGGTATGTTGGCGGGTAGTGGGATTTTGTGCAGAAGGTACCGTAGGTGTGGGACTACAAGTGTTTTCATGGGTTTTTTTGTCTTGTGTGGTGCAGGGAGGGGACAGGGAATTGTGTTTTATTTACGTGTGGGCTTGGGAGTCGGTGGGTGGGGTATCGATGAGCCTACTTTTTTTTGGTGCAATCTGGGGGCCAGTGGGCGGGGCGTCTTGTGGTTATACGTTTTTTGGGGGGGGGTACCTAGGGGGTGTGAGTGTCTTGGGGGTGGAGTGCGGGGGCCGGTTGCGGTAGGTATTATGGGTGTGGTTAGGGGGCCGGTGGGTGGGGTGCCGGTTGGCAACATTTGTCTTAAGTGCGTGGTTTTCGGGGGTGGTGGGTGGGGCACCTAGTGGCGTTTGTTTTAAGTGCGTGGTTTTGGGGGCAGTGGGTGGGGCACCAATTTGGCGTCTGTTTGGAGAGTGCCGTTTGGGGGTTGGTGGGTGGGGCACCGGTTCTATTTGTGGGTTGGGGCCTTTGTGGTGAGGAGGGGATGGCAAGGGCTGTGTATGTGTGTTACGAGCAAAGGGTGGTGTTTGTTTATGTATTATGTGTCCATGGGTGTTTATATGTGTAAGTCTATGGGTGTGTGTTGTTTGTGTGTGTGTGTATGTGTGGGGGTTGAGTGTGCAGGTGGAGGGTTGGTGTGGGAGAGTTTATGAGTGTGTGTGTGTATGTGTGTGTGTGTGTGTGTGTGTGCGCCCGTGGTCGTGGGGGTGGGGCGACCCCTCCCCCACCAACCAATCAATCAATCAATCAATCAATCAATC